ATTATTTTGATGCTAACGGAAACATTTCAGAGAGCCAACATCCATCAGATTTTTTGGTTATTACATAAATGATAATTAATAATTATATAAATTATTCTAAAACTTTAGTAAATATTTAATTAGTATTTAAAATTCTTCTTAAGACTTTGATATGATTTTTTAACTACCAATGAAGCAATAATGGGATCATATTCAACAGATAAAAGCGAACTTTTTAATTACAATTATTATTCATTATCTTAAATTAATTTACAAGTAACTAAAAGAACCTATTGTAAATCCAAACTTTTTGCCGTCATAGATAAAATTTTTCAGAAGTTTTCGAAGATCATTCTCTTGGTAAATTGACTAAGCGATGTAGATTGTTTTGAATAATTTATTTAAGCCTTTTTAGAATTCTATTATTTGTTCACATGTCTCCTACACATCAAATCAGATCATAATCAGTTTAAGCTATTCTACATATAAGAAATTCAGGATCTGATTTATAATCGAAGAATTTTGCAATTTCTTTATAACTGGAGAAAATATCATATATTCCCAGAGAGCCAAATAAAAAAGTCATAAAGTTAAATATAAGCTACATCGACTTGTTCGAGTGATACTGCTTTTAGTTTCCTTTTCTCGTTATAGAATTTCACTTAGCCCTTATAGAATTATGAAATTCCATTATTTAAAGTGCTTTATAACAGGCTCGGCCCAACTTATCTAAATTTCTCTGGGGTTAGGTTACTAGTCTTTAATAAATCGATATAAGCTTCTTGAGGGTCAAAAATAATGACAGTAAAGTTATAAAGTTTCTATCACAAATCACTATATTTTACAAGTGATTATAGTGGATCAAGAAATCATTGCATAAATTAGGTTTGAAATTCTAATCAACATGCAACTAATAAAATAACTCGTATATTTAATTTGTTTCATCATCAAAAATCCTGAAAAAATACAATTTGCTTGACATTTAAGTTGCAAATTTAAGGACTTTGAATATAAGTTATACAAGTTTTCTCTTTTTTTTAGTGCTTTTTGATGTCAGAAGAACTCGGGCATATTCTCATTCATAATATTTACAGAATTTTCGATTTTCAAATTTTAAAAGGCGTCCTAAAACTAAGACATCATTTTACTGTTATTAGCAGCAATTTTAGGTCTTTTCAAACAACAGTGCAAATGACACCATTACAAAATATTTAAATCTCTACAAAATTTTCTATGTAGATTAAATAATTTTGTACCTCCAAAATAATTATTCAAGAATTGGTGTTTTTATTTGTGATTACGATGTCTATTGCAAAAGGACCTCTTTTTGACAATCAATGTAGAATTAATAAATATTATTAATTAATAAAATATTAATCTTAACGATATATCCACAATCACAACAATCTCCATTTGAGTAATGATACGTCACTACATGATCTTATGTACAATACTAATAGTACTCTAATTTTTTTGGAGTGTAGTGTTCTTAACAATTTATATGATTAGATTTTTGCTGCAATCAAAAATTGGTATAACAAAACATTTTTAGAAAGAAGAGCAGAACAAACAGTTTTAAATCCTATCCCTTTGGATCTGTGATCTTAACTTCAAATTCCTATTTGATCAGATTTAGGACCTAATAGACGAATTCAAAATTTTGTTTTCTCTCTTGTGAATTGGTTGTGTTCAAATTAAGTCAATCAACGTGTAAATATCCATTTAGATACTATTATCTATTTATATATTTTTTTACTATTTGCTTATTATTTATGTAATAATTGTTAATGAAATTCATTTATCTTGTATTAAACAATTATGATTTTTTTTATATAGAAAAAGTCATAAGTATTTTACTAATTATATGATTATTGCATAACATTATTTGTATTTTTTTTGGAATTAAATAATTAGCATGTAATTTTTTCTTTTGATTAATCTCTTATCAATGCTCTTATATAGAATAAATTGAAGAGTTATTCTTTTATTTTAATCTAAAGATTAATATTCAATAATGTATATTAGTTGAATACTGATTTTGCTTTCTTAATTGAAGAGAGAAAAACAAGATTGAGCGATGTTTTTTTAATTTTACTTTTTTTTGTTCATCTAACATCTTTGAAAAATGATCCTGAAGAAATTATGATTTCAAAATTAAATTACCTGGATTGTAAGAAAAATTTGAAATTAATTTTACTCATTAATAATTAGAATAAAATGCTCACTTGCCTTGTTTGTCAGAAATCAAATAATCAATTTAAAACTGAAAACACAAAGCTAAAGTGAGAAAATAATTGATTTCAATAAAAAAATTTTTTAAAACAACATTAATAGCATAATTAATGGTAGAGTTAAATATCTTGTTTCTAATTTAATATACACATAAAATTAAATTTGCTTAAAGGTAGATACTATGTACTCTATAAAGTGTTCAATATATTTTTGTTTTAAAGCTTCATCGAAAATGGAAATTACCAGTTCATGCTACACTCCCCATTTAACTTTCATTAATATTTAGAAAATTATATACTATTTAAATAACTATTTAATTTTCAATGTCTTCTGCGTTTCATATTCATATCGGAGGGGCTAGAGTAATGATCGGGGATATGTTATGGAAACTTTATGAAAAAGAATACAATGAAGCAACTTAGAATAATTATATTTATGAAGAAGTTGATGGGAATCATTATCCATTAGCACTTTTCTTCGATACAGATGACAGAATGATACATGAAGTCCAAAGGAATAAGACAGTAAAATATAAGAAGCATTCATTTGTACATGGAAAAGAGGATGCATTAACTTTTGCTAGAGGTGTTTACACTGTTGGAAGTGACATTTCATATGAAGCATTAGATAGCATTCGAAAATAAATAGAAACAATGAATCGATTAGATGAATTTGTGATTACAAGTTCAATAAGTGGAGGAACTGGTTCTGGATGCCTTTGTAAATTGTCATTTCTATTAGAGATGGAATTTGAAAGTAAAGTAAAATAAAATGGATTTATAATTTTCCCATCTTCAGAGATGTCGAATACTGTTGTTGGAGTTTATAATGCAGTGTTCTCAAACTCTATTATGACATAAAGATTTAATAGTATCACAATGTTTGACAATTAGTCAATGTACAATGCTATTGATTATCAATTACAAATAGAAATTGTTGATTATTAACATTTAAATAATTTGGTGGCTCAAGTAATTAGTTCATATACTGGAATAAGAAGATTTAACAATTTTGATAATTCCAAGTTTTTTTCAAATTGTGTCCTTATCCTAGAATGCATCATTTAATTCCATCGTATGGCAAAATGACTTTAATAAATGATTACACTAGAACAGAATTATAGCAATAATAATTCATTCAATATCTTACTAAAAAGGAATGTTAACTTTATCAAAGTCTGCTTAATCCTCGTCATATATCTACAGCATTATTATTTAGATAAAAATAACTGAACCCTTTATATGGTTAATTTGATGTAACTCTAAACAATTTAGATCTTTGTTTTGGCTAACGTTCACATATTTTTTAATGTGCATCATCAAATTACTAAGTTTTGCCTGAACTTGCATAAATGAAATAAACTGGATCCTTTTTTTCTAATGATGCCTCAATTACTAGTAGATTTAAATAATTAAGAGAGAGCTTTAGTAGTCTTCGCAGAAGAACTGCTTTTCATTAGTGGTATATTCGTGAAAATATGGAAGATGGAGAGTTTTCTCGAGCATTATACGACATAGAAAGTTTAGAAAAAGAATACAATGAAGTAATATCCTAGAATAATCAATAAATTCTGAATGAAAAGAATGATGATGATTTGTGAATTTAACACATTATTTTATGTCAGCTTGCATTAAATAATTAAAGTTCAAAAAGTAATTTCTCACCAAATCTTTATAATAGAATTAGATAATTGAATTTTAATAGTTATGATTAATAATTATGGATCAATTCTTTTTCAATTCTTATTATCTGTAGCATATGATCATGTGAAATCAATTTGTTGCTGAACCAATCAGAATTAATATGATCCTTTTCTTTGTGATAAATGACTTTGATGTTGAAAAAATTACATCGTATTAAGACATACCTATGTTTAAATTTTTAAATCTACATACCCATTTAAATATCGAATTCAGTTTATGGGGTGAAATTTGCTTAATAGGTTTATAATAAATTCTGTTAATATAAATCTATTAATTAATAATTTTTTCTTTTGATATAAGGAAAAATTATTAAAACTTTTCTAATTCTTAAATCTCTATCTGATATGTTGATTTAAATTCACCTCAAACTTTTTTGTTTGATTGTGTTGACACATATAAGAGATACTATATTAAAGTGATTTCTTAGTTATTTTTCTGTCTTCTAAGCCTTGATTATATATTATTATCTCTTTAAAATTCTTATTCCTATATCCTTGATTATATTCCGTTTGATGATATATCTTAATCAAACTTTATAAGTTTTCTCTCAGGATTTTTTTTATTACAGATTTGAGTTTGATTTAACTAAATGAGTACCTCACACAAGATCCTACACTCTACAGGAATTACTCATGACTAGACCCTCGATAGTTGTTGGAAATACAAAATAAACAAGGTCAGTGCATATCTGACTTTGCTGTTTCAAGGAGAAATAATCAAAATTGCCTTGAGATTTAGAGATAAGAGATAAAAATAGTCTAGCCATCTACTTGGACAAGTAAAATGAATATTCGATAATAACAAAATGGAACTTTGGACATTATTTTTGGATTCAACTTTTAAATTTACATTCTGTTAATAAGTCAAAATACAGATATGATAAAGTTATTATGATATTATCTTCATTATGAATATGGATGTCATAGAATTTTAGGGTAGTATTTAGAAAATTCTAAATAGATCATGAGCATCAAATTGCTCCACTTTTCTCACTCTAATCCTGTTTTTTTTTT